TGTCCTAGGCAAGAATCCTGTATAATAGCCAGTGCCTCTTAAATTCTCTCCACAGTTGTGTAAGCTTCTGTAGCTTTCTGCAGATACCAGCTTTATTTCCATCCCTACTGTGTTGTCTGCAGATTCACACTTCTTCACCTGCTGTTTTTCCTTATCAAGTAGTTACTATTTTCTTTCTGAAAAGAGATTTCTGAACTTAGGGTTTCTGAAACCTGAGATGCATTTAAATCTTAGAAATTGCTGCTTTGGATGAAGCTAATGACACTGCTTTAATTGAACAGCCCTTCTTAAATTCCAAGAATCCTAGAAATAAGAAGTAGAAAAGCCTTAAGTCAGTTAGTCCATTTTCTTTCAGACACATACATTCCGCAGGGGCAGTGTAGGACTATTCTCTGTAGAACATCCTCCAGAGTTTTGTCCAGTATAGTTTTAAATTACTTGAGCAATGAAACTTCCACAAGGTCATAAATAAAATCACACCGGCATGCAAACTTTTTTGCGGGCATGTTAAAATTTGTTAATTTGTGGCAGATATTAGTAGAACATATAGTAACAAGCAATGGGCGTGGTTAAGAAACAGCAAAGTTTGTGTATTGTGGGATCCTACTTAAAGATCAGTTTTTCTTTAAGTAGAAGATTGGAACCGTAGAATATTGCTGGCCTCAAACACTAGTTTTTTTTTTGGTTTATAAAACCTGGCCTTCAAAAAGTGGATTTTGTCTTTCATGCTATTTAAAAATCTACCCCCTTTGGAATTGTTCCAATTTTATTAATATGACAGTTTTCAAATAGTTTATTCAACTTTAACAGAAATGGATACAAATGAAATGAGGCGGAACATTCAGTTAACTTGCTGATCAAAAAATCTTGACAGATGTTCCATTAGTGAGTACAGTTATAGCCCCCTAAATTTATGTGGAAAACAGGATCAGAATCTGAGAAAGATAAAAGAATATATCACTTAAGTCCAGACTTTTAAAGGTAGTTGCAACACCTAATTGATTGAGGAGCCTAACCCTCATTTACAAAAGGGATTTTAGTACTTTGCCTAAATCCCATTGAGCACAGCAGCATATAAATACCTTTTAAAATCTGGACCATAGCCCTTATTTAATGCTTTTCAACTATAGATCTCAAAGCACCTTACAAAGGTAGGTAATTTTATCTCCATTTCACAGATGGGGAAACTGAGGCACAGATATGAGATTATTTCCCCATGGATATACAGCAGGTCATCAGCAGAGCTGGGGACAGAACTCTGGTCTCTAGCCATTAACTAGGTCATGCTGCCTCAAAGAAACACAAGTATGAGTGTGAATTGCCTCAACATAGTCCTGCCACCCCAGTCAAAGACGCTGGCTAAAGAGAAATGCCAAAGGTAGATGATTCTCATAAATGTGCCCAAGGCCACTTTGTGTTAACCAGCCCAATGGTTAACCCAAATGATCAATGGTATCAACTGCTGTATGGAACTTGAAAGTGCAAATTCTATTTCTGTATCCTAAGGCAAAAATGTTCCTGGCAAGTGGAAGTTCTAAATCCTTGCAGGCTTCTAAGATTTTTCTCATTTCAGTAATTTTAAATATTCCTGACAATGTCAATGAAATTCTTCATTGGCCTACTTTAGGTTTTTCTTAGGATTTGTTGAATTGAATTGAGTCTATAAGGCTGTAATTTACATGTCAGGGAAGCTTATTGTCTATTTGACAACTTTGGTGTGGGTGATTTATAATTTCCCTTCACCACTGAATGTGATCTTAAACTTTGAGGAGGCAGATAACATTTTTAGATGTTGTAGGTATGTTGTCAAAGCCTTGTTTTTCCTATCAGCTGTTAGGGTGAGTTGATTTCTCCTAAAGATACCTTGCATTAACTAAAAGTACAGCGATTAGTAAACTTAATTGAAACTTAATTTTTTAATTGAAATCTGCTGTTTTCTGTCAATACAGCACATTAACTAAATCTGAGTTGAGATGAAAATTACTTGAGAGGGAAGCAGTTAAGTTAAATAAACCACTTCTTAGTTCTTAAGATTTTTTTGCCTATAAAGTATCCAAAATCTTGTGACCCAAGATTTGTTTAATTCTCTTTGTGTGGTCTTCACAGTCTTAGAGCCTTTAATATTCCTCCTCTCTTACTGTAGTGTAATTTTTATAGGGATTCAGGGTTCGATTTAAATTTAACTAATAGTGGCAGCAGAGCTACATGACAAGTGTAATGTTAAGGCTCCGTGACTACATAAAATGACAAACTGATACAGTGTTAAAGGTTGAGCTACAAATCTTTTAGCTGGCAAATGTGAAGATCTCAGATTAGTAACAATTTACATGCAGAATAAAATGCATAGAAACAAATATTTTGAACGTTCATTAAGTGTGGTGGGGTAGTAGAATTGAGTTCTCAGTGAAGCTGTCAGCTGTTTGGAGGAGAAACATGGAATTCTCAACTTGGGGCTTCCTGGAACAGTGAACAAGGGGTTTGTCACAAACTCCTTTGCTCAGCAGTTCATAGCATTGAGTAAAGTGCAGTTCTGTTCTGAACAGTGCTTCTCTAAAACTGATCCATCCTGTTTCAATTTCTTTAACAAATCTGCTCAGTTTACAAGTTCCAATTTTTTCTGAGAACCTGGGCTTTGGAGTTTAAAACAACTCCCCCCCCCCCCCCCCAATATGTCAACACCAGTAACAAATGTTCTATGGGCCAAATTAGATCCTTACTTACCTGTCTTCAGTGAGTTTGCATAGGTGTAGCTGAGTGCAATTTAAGAATTCCATTGATACACGAGAGATAATGGATTTCAGTTCACTCTTCCATAGTTACGTTGGTTAATCAGAGATGATACAAGTAAAGAACTAGAAATTATTTTTGTCACTGAAGTCAGCAGATCTGTGGCATAAGAAGGTTCTATTTTTTTATAGTCACTCTTCAGAGTAGAACTGCACTTTAAATGGAACACTTGTGCAAACTAGAGGCACAAGCAATCCCTTGAAATAATAACACTTAAATGTAATGTGATAGGGATTGCATGGTGCTTTGTATGGTAATTAAGGACAGCCCTTGGGCAAGGCACTTGCAATCTAAGTTGAGCATCAAAAAGGCAGGATCTGGGGGGAAATTTATATCAGGCAAGGGGGAAATGGAGAAGTGTATAAAATAAGACGGTAGAATTGCTAAGGTGTCTTAAGGCTTGGCTACACTTGCAAGTTACAGTGCAGTAAAGGAGCCCCGGGCGCACTAGCTCACTACCCGTCCACGCTGGCAAGGCACATAGAGCACTCTGACTTCATGGCTACAGCGCTGCTGGTACTCCACCTCGGCGAGTGGAATAACGTTTGCTGCTCCCCCGCTGGAGCATCGTGGCACTAGTGTGAACGAGGTGTTGCTTTACTGCGCTCTGATTAGCCTCTGGAAATGTCCCATAATCCCCTTAAGTCAAGTGGCCACTCTTGTTGTTGTTTTTTAATTGCTGCAGGAATGCGGATATGCCCTTTGAAAGCTCTGTTTCTGACAGCCGGCTGCTTATCTACTCTGAGACAAAGCAAGCCATTAGTGTGGAATGCTGTGTGTGAGAGAGGGAGAGGGGTCTACTGCTGTCTGAAGTTACAAGACAGCATGGTGACATACTCTCAGCCCCCCAAAAACCCACGCGCGCTCTCTCTCTCTCCCCCGCCACATACACTCAACACACTCCCTGTCACACTCCATTCCCCCCCCCCCCATTTGAAAAGCATGGTGCAGCCACTTGCATGTGGGGATAGCTTCCCATAATGCACCACTCCCAATGCCGCTGCAAGTGCCAGAAATGTGGCCACACCAATGCGCTTGAAGCTGTCAGTGTGGACAGACTGCAGCGCTTTCCCTACTGCGCTGTCCGAAGGCTGGTTTAACTCAAAGCGCTCTACATCTGAAAGTGTAGCCATGCCCTTGGTTTGCCACTTGACTTCAGTGGAAACAAGACCAACTCTTATTTTGTACTGATGAATGAACTAGTGTCATCTGCAAATTTTATCATCAGTGCTTTTATATTTACCTCATGATCATTGATGGAAATGTGAACAGCATCAGACGTAGTACCAGTTCCTGCAGAACCCCATTAGAAACATTCCTATTCAGTGATGATTCCCCAATAATGCTACATTTTGAGATCTGTGAGTTACCCAGTTCTTAATCCCTTTAACATTTGCTTTATTGATTTAGTATGGTGCTAATATTTTAATCAGAATGTGGTGCTGTACTAAGTCAAACACCTTACAAAAGTCCAAGTATATTACATCTACACAGTTACCTTTATCAAATAAACTTGTAATTTCAGTGAATGAAGTCAGGTTTGTTTGACAAAAACTATTTTCCATAAACCATGTTGACTGGCATTAAGTATATTCCCATCCTTTAATTCTTTATCAATTTAAATCCTATATAAGCTTTTTAGTTATTTTGTCACGGAGTGATGCCAGACTAATGAGACTATAGTTACCAAGGTCATTCCACTTGCCCTTTTTGAATATTGACACCACATTAGCACTCTTTCAGTCTTCTGGAATTTTCCCAGTATTCCAAGATTTATTAAAAATCAACATCAGCAGGCCAGAGATTTCCTCAGCCCATTCTTTTAGTAGTCGTAGGTGCATGTTATCCTGGCCTGCTGTTTTAAAAATATTTATCCTAGTAGACATTGTTTAACATCCTCCTTAGTTATTAATGAACTAGGAAGTACTTTATCATCCTTATGTGATACGAATATAATATCCCACTTTATTTCAAATGAACAATATATTGAACACTTCTGCTTTTTTTGTCATTAACATTTTTATCATCTTTACCTATAAATGGCCTATACCATTCCTAGGATTTCTTTTGTTCCTTATATACTTAATGTTCTTCATGCTGCCAGCTATATATAGTTTTTTCCCTGATCTCTTTAGCTTTCCTTATCAATTTTCTACACTTCATAACTTCTTATTTGTATTGATTGCTATCCATTTCCCCCATTTATGTTTTTTTATTTCTAATTTCTTCCTTTACTATTGAACCAGGATATGCTTAAAGCCCAAGTTATCCTCTTTCCTGGTGTGGAATCATGGCTTCTTGGTCATCCAATAAACTCTTCTTAAACAATTCCCAATTTTCATTCACATTTTTCTTTCTATTTTTCCTCCCAATCAATTTTGTTCACAATATTCCTGAGCTTTGGGAAGTTAGTCCTTTCCAATCAATAGAATCTGCTTTATATCCTATTTGGAGTTAGTGAAATTCCAAATAGACTGAAAGTCTACACATTTTTCAATGCATTTCAAATTTCCTGTAGTAATTATCTTAGAGTTGCATAACAGTTAACAATTTTCAAAGTGTTGCACAAACTAATTCTGACTCTGCCACTGGTGGAGGGTTTAAAAAAAACCCAAAACTTTCCTTATTAGAGTGCCCCATGATTTAGTTCTTGTATTGGAGATCTTTCTCCTGGATAATTTGGTTTATTTCTTGATCTCTCATAGCTCTGATAATGCTGCTTCAGACTGTCAGACAATTACTCTCCCCACCCCCAAAAGGTTTAAAATGAACTGGCTAAGATAAAATTACACTGCTGCCTGCTGACAGCAGTTGATAACACAGTCCAAACACTGCTAATCCTCCTCCTCCCAAGGTACTGGATATTTTTTTGCCTTGTTGCATGCTACTTAATTTTGTAATTCCAAACAGGTGGTTGGGAAGGAGGGTGTATACTGGTCCATATGTCTGAACACCATCTTCAGTAAAGCATAATGAAAACCGCCTCTTATGAACGAACACTCGTGCGCACACACACACAAACAGAGCATTCTCCTTTTAGAAATGAGGGCAGGCCAATTGTCAGCTCAGTCTCTCCAAAGGTTAATAATAAAACAAACTGAAAGCTTGGAAATTAGTGGCACGTTGCTCTGAAGGTGCAAAAGATGTTGGGGGAGAGGGGAGATTAGAGGCTGAGAGAACATAGGTTTGAATGGTAGGAGAGCGTGGAGCAAGATTCAGAGATCACAACAACTGCCAGTTTGGGTGTAACTAACACAGTAGTAAGTATGCTGCAAGTCCAGGGCAGGAATCTGACCAGTGTTCTAGTTGTTAAGAAAAATAATCAAGTCTGCATAAAATTGACAGACTTTGGAAGGGATGTAATGAAACAAATGTAATGCGTGTTTGATCTGTGCTCATGTTATGGTTCTAACCCTCCATAGCATCTGCCTGATTGTCTCCCCCTCCACCTCCCATCCCCTAAAAGCATCACCATCCCACCCCTCTATATTTACCCTTCTCAGTGAGAACTTTCCAAGAATGGAAGTAGTAAGATACAACGCCTGTGGGGCTAAAATTAGCCCGAGCGCCCTGGCCTTTATCCCTGCTAGTGGCATTTCAGCTGCGTGCCTGACGACCTGCGTTGCTCCTGTTCCACAGAGCTGGTGCCCCGCTCCTGGGTGAGGTTTCTCCTCCTGGGAAGATCTTGTCTCTCCCTTTTTGTAAAAGGTAAAAGAGAATTAGCACTGGGACAAGCTGCCTGCTTCACAGCACTAGGTGAGCATCAACTACCTCACAGAGGTAAGACAGCAACATAATGATGGCCAGGCAGCTTTGGCAACTTTAAAGTAACCTGGTAACCACAGCTTTAAATGTGTAAGTATATGTACTATTGATATTAACTGTGACCAAACTCTCTCTATCTGAAGATCAAACATGCACATGTTTTGCTTCAATCTATAGACGATTATCTCATTTTTGGCTATTCTGATCAGTAATTATATGAAATATATGTTTCTCACTACAGGTTTTACACTCTCAAGAGTGTCACTGCATGGATGCTTTTGCACACTATTCTAATACATTGATTTGTTAGTAAATATTACAGCTGTTCTTTGTTTTCAATATCTTTTCCTTTAAGTATAGCTGTGCATTCCTTTCAAATCAAGTCCTATGTTTAAAAAATCAGTTGTGTATAATTTTATGATGTTTCTCTTCTCAAACTCCAAGGCTTCCTTGCTTAACTTAGGGTAATTGTTTGTTTGAAACAAGTTTAGAAGTTACAGATGCAACAGATTCATAGATTCACACACTGCCACAAAACTGATTCAACTAATTCAGAAAATGTAGCTGCTAAGATGGAATGGTACATGGGAATTTCCTTAGATCGGGGCATAGACTAGTTTTTTTTTTTTATTGGAGCTTTAGTTAAAAATAATATAACAGTTGTTGAATGTCATTTTAATGTGTAGTTTTGGATCATAACTAAATTTGTCTGCTTTTAATAAAGTGACATAAATGAGCTTCTGTTCCAAACTCAGCGTTTCCTTTATTAATACAGCCCCTAACTTTTGGGGGGGTGGAGGAGGGCGTGCTAACTCCCACCCCCCCCCCCGTCTCCAGTTGTTTACGCCTAAGTGGATACACTTCCTAATACAAAGCTAGTGGGTATCATCCAATTGTTAGCATTGTTCTTGTCAGAGATGTGTTTGAAGGAATAGACTAGATGCATAACACAGCTAACTTGACAAATAGAGAATTTCAGCTCCTAATAAAAGTATTTGCAGGAATCATTTAGGAGAAGGAACGGATAGAGCTGTTACTGACGCAGCTTCTGTTAGAGGAAATTCTAGATGCTTTGGGATTGGAATGTGTCAAGAATTCCTTCTGCCCTTCCCTAAGTTATAGCATTTCATAGCTGGTCAGGTGCATTGTGGGGGATTTCACATTCCTCAGAAGCATTAGGAATTGGCCAGGGCAGAGGCTAGATACCAGACTAACTGGATCAATGGACTGATCCCATATGGCAAACCTCCATATTCCATTACAGCTTCTGGGTAAAAGAAACAATTGTCAGACATTTCCCCTGCCCATAAGACAAATGTAAATGCCGCTTGGTTCAGCTGCCCTGCTCAGGGATAGGGAAAACTGCTCTGTAAGACAGTAGTTTTCAACCAGGGGTCCAGGGCCCCCAGCAAGTTTTGGGGGTCTGTCAAGCAGGACCAGTGTTAGACTCGTTTTGGCCCACGGCAGAAAGCTAAAGCCCCACCACCTGGGGCTGAAGCAGAAGCCTGAGCAACTTAGCTTCATGGTGTGCCCTGTGGCATGGGGCCCCAGGAAATTGCCCTGCTTCATACCCTTTAATGTCGGACCTGGCTTTTTTATGCAGGAAACCAGTTGTTGTGGCACAAGTGGGTCATGGAGTTTTTATAGCATGTTGGGGAGGCCTTAGAAAGAAAAAGGTTGAAAATTCCTGCTGTAAGAGATTCAGCTGCTTGCATATTTAATTCAGAAAGTCCCTTACAATCCTTTCTGAAAATCCTTAATTAGAATTGCATTTTTACTTAGTGCTACAATTCTCTTTTAAATAATAATAATAAAAAATAAAACATGGCTTTTCCAGTCACTTAAAAATTGCAAGACAGACAAAATGTCCAGGCTGGTTGTCTATTGTACCTGTAAATGTCAGTAACACTGCCAGCTCCTAAACCTTCTTGACAATGTTATCTAGGTCTCTAAGTGCTTTGCAAAAGTGGCTGTTGGTGAAGTATTATTATTCCCATTTTACAGATGGTGTTTGCTGAGGCATGGTGAGTTTAAGGGCCAGATTTTCAAAAGCATTCAGCACCCAACAACTCTCATTAAGAAAAATGGGAGCTGGTGAGTTCTGAACCCTGTTTAAATTTAGCTGCCTACTTTAGCAGTTGGATGCTGAACTTTTCCAAAAATCTAGCCTTAAGTGACTTCCCCAGAGGCATACAACAAGATGGTACTGAAGCCAAGTCTTGTGAATCCTAGCTCCATGCCTAATCCAGTACCCTCTTCCTTCACCCTCAGAAAATCCATACAAAACCAGGATAAGGATTAGTAGTATGTGCCACTGTGATTGTTGCTTTCTGAATACCTACATGGGTGTAGGCAGATCGAGGTTTCATAGCCCATGCTCATACTGGAGCATTGGTCCAGATCTTTTTGTCATAAAACTTTGAGTGTGGTTTTCCTCTGACCTATCGGTGTGGAAATAAATGTAAGTGTTTGAGAAGGAATGACTATAAGGTAATCAATTATTTTGTCCTGATGCTCCTCAACTTGAGTATGAGATTCCCTAGAGCAGGGAATGAGACTGTTTTTAGAACTAGTTCCTAATCCTGTTTCTTGTTCCATAGATCTCATGCTTTACACAGTTCATGATGAGAGTTGTACTTAAGAGACAAACCAAAAATGAATCTAGTGGATATAACCAAAATCTTCTCCATGCTCCAGCCCAGAGAAAATGAAGATGATAATGGAGAAAGACAAGAGCTGAACCAAGCAGCGTCCCAGGATGATTATCAAACTCTTGATGAACTCTTGTGCCAAGACAGATACAAAACATTTATTAACTGCAGAAGTGGTTGGGGGGTACCTGGGACCCCACTTCGCCTAGCAGCTTCAAAGGGCCATCTGCGAAGTTTAGAAGTTCTCTTGGCCCATGGAGCAGAAGTGGACAGCCTAGATGTGAAGGCGCAAACTCCGCTATTCACTGCTGTTAGTAATGGCCACCTAGACTGTGTTAAAGTACTGTTGGAGGCAGGGGCCAGTCCTTCCGGCAGCATCTACAATAACTGTTCTCCACTGCTCACGGCCTCTAGAGATGGAGATGTCAGCATTCTGCGAGAACTCTTAGACTATGGGGCGGAAGTCAATGTTAAAGCAAGAGTCCCAGAGTGGGCTGCCAACTCTGCAGCTTGTTCTGGCCCTTTATATCTCTCAGCGGTCTACGGACATCTGGAGTGTTTTAAAATGCTGCTGCTTTATGGAGCAGATCCCAATTACAACTGCACTGATACGAAAATGATCGCACGAATCAAGCAGCCCAAGACGGTGCTTGAAATCTGCCTGAGACATGGTTGTGGGAGTGAATTCATAAAACTGCTCATTGATTTTGGAGCCAATGTGTACTTACCAAACATCGCAGGAGATAAGATTTCACCGAATAGTGAGGCTTTGGCGCTGCTGATCAGGGAAAGAGGTAACTTGTATGCACTGCCATAGATTTGGAAACTTGCACTAGACTTCCAGCTTTGATAGTACATCACTTGGGTAGTACGCCAATTTCCAAAAAAGCAACTTGAGATCAATTTGAGTAAGGGCTTTTTGCTAGCCTAAATTTCCTTGGAGTTCCAGGTGGGCACAGTATTTTTTCACTTCCTGTCCTAACTTGTTGGGTGGTGTTGCTGGCGGTTATTAACTGCTACTTTTTGCCCCAGAAGTGGTTGCATTCTTCAGGATAAAAAAATGAACTGATGCTAAACCTATTATCTGCCTATTGGTTGGTCAGGTTAAAACACACAATGTTTTAACCAGACCTTCTTTAGTAGCAGCAAGTTTAAATGAATAAATTGCACGGTGAAGAATGAAGAAACTTGCTGCTACTGAAGAAGGTCTGGTTTCGAGATAAGGCCATTGGTGACATAGCTGTCAGTGTAGATCACCTCACCTCACCGTCACCTAGAGTTTTCACATTAAGAGCCAATGAGCCTGTCGTAGCTTCACCACAAGACTCCTCTGCATTCAAGGCTGCTTAACTCCCTTACTTCCTTCTCCCATCACCAAATCTTCAGTACATGGAGTACCTAAAAGGAAGGTTATTTTCCTCTCCTTCATCAATATAGCCTGGTCTGAAAATCTCCACTGCCACAACCCAACTGAGTTGACTGCAGAAAGTGTTACTGCAGCAAGGAGTAAGAGAGAGTCTTGAGGGAAGAAAAGATGATCAAAGTCAGTATGGCCAGGAATCAAATCAAACTGATACTCAGGATTCTCCTTCCTTCCTTCCCCCCTCCTGTTAACAGGTGCCAAAGTGGGGGAACGGTGATCTCAACAGTTTGGTACAGACATTAGATCAGTTAGTGTCTTGTGGAGGGGGCAGCAGGAGGAGTAGAAATATGCATAGGAACAATTAGTATTTTGGTCTTCCAGAATCTGAAAGAGAATGTGGGAGGAGAGGGATGGAAGATGGGGGTGGGGGAGAAGAGGATGGCTAGACACATTAACTTCATCCTCTTGATGTTCTCCTCAAAGTGCTTCTGAACAGAATTTGCCACCGGCGCAGCTCCACTATTGATAGTAAGTGTGGGAGGACTCATGTAGACAAGGCTCTGGTACTTCTACCAACCTAGCATGCTCTCGGCAAAGTTAGGTGAGGCTAGTGGTAATGCTAGTGGCTGGTTCTCCCGCTGTTGTTCTTATCCCACAGAGCTGCACTTGTACTAGTGGGAGACTGCCCTAAAATTGTCAGTATAGGTGCAGCCCTTGTGAAACCCCCATAGCTAAGCTCATCATTTCACATGCTAAGTAGCTCAGCCACAACAAGGAGCTTGTCCCATGCCCATGCCATTGAGGAAAAACCTGAAAGGGGAAAAGCTATAACAAGAAGATGGTTTCCAGAACAAGTTGCTCCTGTGTCCATAGTGCCATGGAGATGCAGTACCTTAATGCCAGGCAGACGCCTCAGTGAGCTCATAGGTGTGTGACCATAGGACCGGGGGCATGAGAATGTGGCTAAAGGTTGTGTCCCAGCAGCATTTGAATTTTACCTACCTAGAGCAAAATGTCATTGTCATGGATGATCGGGTTGCTCTAGTTTATTAAAATTCACAACACAGAGAGAGGCAGTTTGCATTATGTAACCTGAACCACGCAGGCCCATCTGCTTTCAGGAATGCCACCGTGAAACAGTATCTCTCATCATTCGTGATTCGCCCAGCGATATGGCTCCCAGGTGGCATTGCACTGCCATTTATTCGTTTAAAATGTTGCAGTTGCCAGTCCCTTTACGGCTGGTCAGAAGCCAAGCAGAATGTGCATCACAATGAATGAGGCGTGGGCTGTGAGAGAGACTCCTTCTCGGTGCTCTCTTTGCTTAAGGTAGAAGGTTTTGAATGTCCTGAAAGTTTACAGTCTTTTTTTCCCCCCCCCCCCTGTTCCCCCTTCCTGTGCAGCTCATCCAAAATCCTTGATGTCTCAGTCTAGGCTGGCTGTCAGAAAGCTTCTGAAACTGACCAACAGCGCACGTGCCATAGATCAACTGGGGATCCCACCTGTGCTAGTGAACTACCTCAAACATCAATCTTAAGGGAAGATCAGAGCAAGTTTTGAAGACAAAGTTCTACGTAATGTGTTGACCACCTTGATAAAAAGCCATTGTGGAGTAGCAATTATGCAGTACATGGTAGCCAGGATTCAGTCATCATTACTTGCTGTGAGTGCGTTTGCTTACATTACATCTCCAAAAGGCAGCTTGGCCTTTATTGAAACGAACCAAACCAAACTGGTAAAAGGTGATAACAGTAGATGAAGATGGAAAAGAACTTGCCTCTAGCAGTGCATTGAATGGACCGGAGAATGTTAGAAAAAGTCTGGTTTCAGTTTTTTATATCATTTTGGTTTTATACCCTCATAACTTAATCCTCTTACACCTTCTTATTTGTTACAATCAAATCCAAAAATGTCTGTATGGCTATGCCAGAACCTGAAAGGCAAGGCTGGTTTTCCCTCCTACTTTTATGGAGGAGAGGACAGGAGGTACAATAGGGTAAAGAGTGTTGGTCTTTGCTCCGTGTTGCGGCTTTAGTTGTATGTAGTTATCTGTCTTGTTTTTTAAAAAACACCTCTTTCCTGGAAAGTTATAAAAGTGCACCTCAGCCTTTCTGCGCTGGGACTAAGATCAGAATTGTGTGTGGGTGAATTTAGAGCTGGTGAAGTTTGTCAGACCTGGAGATTGGAGCCCTCGGAGCACCGTGCAAAGAGTGCTGTGGCAAGGTGGATGGAGAACAGCAGTGCAAACTAACATACCCTACTCTTAGTGATTCCCATGGGGGTCAGAAGGTGGCCATTCAATTTTTGGCCTCTGCTGAGACTGATAAACAGGGGGCTCATCAGTACCTGATATGGACAACTATCTCAATAGCTAGGGCTGTGATTGTGTTGTCTTCTGAATCTTGTATAGCACTGAGAGAATGCTTAGTAATATAGACAGTAATCATTGTCCATAGAACAGCCATCAACTGGTAATAATTTCCAATCCTGGGCTGGATTTGAAATGGTGACCTAGAGGCAAAAGGCTCTGTTTCATATACAGTCCCCTGAGCCCTCCTCCCCTCCCATATGTAATTTTTTAAAGACTCAAACACATTGTTCAATCTTCTCCTTAAAGATGGCTCAAGGCAGGATTAAGGGGAGAAAATTTTCATCCAATCTGTTGTGTGCATATGAATCTACAGTTTTAAACAAAATGTATATTATTGTTGTGATTAAACTATTCTGGCCTGTTTGGTAAGATACTATTTCATTGTTAGTGGAAGAGACAGGAAGCCCTCTTGGTGCTTTATGTACATCCAAATTTGGCACAATATCAGTTGGGAACGTGACTCTGGCTGATAACACAAAGGTCCAGGCTTAAACTTAGCGTGGCTCAAGTTGGCAAAGCAAGTGTTCATGAACATTCACCCCAACTCCAGATAGCTCTTTGGTTCAATCTCATTCAGGCCCCTTTTATTCACTAAAGGGTTTTGCTCACATGCTGGCTGCTGTTCATACAGCTACCCAGATTTGCCTGTGAACAATGGTACTGGGGCATGAACAAATGTATTCAGTATTCCTATTCACTACCTTTGTGTTTGTTTGCCATTAGTCTCTTGTTTAAAAAGCTTCAGTCAGCCAATCAAAGAACAAAGTCAATCACCTTATGATGAATCTCACACAGGCACAGGATAAAATGTGTTTACCAACGCTATTCTGTAAACCATTACAAATAATAAATTCATAAAAATGAGTCTGCTGGTGAATAGAAAAAAGGGCTAAATTTACTGGCAACCCCAATTTCACTGCCCACAAAATATATATACTAGCTCATGCAGCAAGAAAGACGTAGTCTAACAGACTAAGCATGGGACTAGGATATATACAAGTTCTCATTGTGGCTCTAACAGTGACTCTTTTTGTGGCCTTGGCCAAATCACTTAACCTCTTTGTGCCTCATCCCTGTGTGAGAAATAGGGATAACACTAATGTACAACATTTTAGCTCTCTAGGTGCTTTACAAAAGTCAGTATCGTTATCCTTGGGGCACAGAGTGAAGTGACTTACCCAAGGTCACTTGGCAAGGCAGTGGCAAAGCCAAGAGATGCCATTGCATGTCCACACGACTCACTTCTGCCAGCATAGCTGTGTTGTCCAGGGGTGTGAAGAGGTGTGATTTGTGACCTACGTGCTTTGCTGTCAAAAGCCACTATTGTGAACATAGTTCTACCAGCCAAACTGCACTTTTACCACTTTTTACCTACAAAATTCCATTTGATGATAAAGCCATTAAATGTGTGTTGTGAAAAACAAAAGCATCTAATACTGTGGGGGAGGGGCGTTTTTCTCCCCTTTTCTAGTGAACCTTAGTTCGTGAGGCTTTGTCTATTCTAGAAGGGTGCAATAGTTCACCTAGTTTTTTTTATCATTACTATTTTAATTGACTTCATTCAAGTGCACTTTTCTAGTGTAGATGAGGCCTTAGATTTAATTCACTCCTAGGCTCCTCTGCCACGTGCTGTGTCAGCTCTGATTGAACTTTGATGCCTGAGTAGAGAACTGCTGGAAAATGGAGACTTATGAATAATGTCCTGGCCCATCCTCAAAATGAGAGGTGCCAAGCAGACCAGTGCACCATGACTAATTGAGGTGTTGCCTGCTCTGGAGCTGGAGCAGAGGATGTAATTTCCAGCTCAGGTACACATACCTGCACTAGCTTTGACTGAGCTACCAGAGTAAAAAATAGAAGTGTAGCTGTGATGGTGCAAGCTGTAGGGTGGGCTAGCCACCCTGAGTACAATCTCATCTGAAACCTTAGATATGTACTCGGGTGGCTAGCTTGTTAGACTGTTTATGCTGCCCTGACTACACTTCTATTTTTAGGTGCTGGCTTCATCAGAGCTAGCATGGATACCCTACCATAGCTAAAAATTACTCCAGCTCCAGTGTAGACGTACCCAGAGAGAGGTCGGTGCAGAGTACATGGCATTGGACAAGCAGTTCTGATCATATAAAAAGCTGGCTCCACTTCAAACCAGACCTGGATCAAAAGGAACCTTTCCTGATGCTAGAAACAATTCTATTAACACTCTCCCCCCTGCCCCCACTTTTGCTGCCTCTGCACTGCCAGGGTCTGGTTGAGAATGGAAATTGGAGATGCTGGATTATCTGGAGAGAGGCCACTTCCATGCTACTTCTGGCTTGAGTGGAAGAAACAAGCCCTGAAATCTCCTGAGAGCTTCTTTTATCCCAAACATGCTGCAGATTCAGGTGTCTTAGGCCAGTGTCTGGACTTCTGGGTGCTTATCCACCTACCTTTCCTGATTCCCACTCTTTAAAACATGAGATGGGCCTAGCCTCACACCCTGGATGCAAACATGCCAGCATTTGGGGAAGTTCAGATCCATCTCTACTTGCAGCCAAAGCCTCGAATGTCACCAATATTTAAACCTTGCTTTACAAACACTTGTCTCACAAAGAGTGTATCTATCTGTCTGAGGTATCTTATAAGACCCTTGCCTTGCTTTCTAAATTCTGTGTAAATCAACCATAGTGTAAGTGGTTACCTGTGTTAGCAAACAGTCTGAGACACCACTTAAAAAGTTTGTGTGTCCACACCCCAGAATCCTAACTGAAACGGCTCTTTGAAAATTCCACTTGGATAGCTCAGTGTGACTGTCTTTAAGCTGGGTCTGCTACTAAGCCAACAACTGACTGAAACAGGAAACTAAAACTACTCATCCCTACTGAACTCCACCCCACAAATTATCAGCTCAGACACCTATAACATTATCCGGATTCATCACATAATGCCCGCCCATCACGACTGGCAGAAGTTCTGTTGACATGAACATACAGCTGATTTGCTTATGGGTGGAAGTACTAACAGTTCACTGTGATGCAATTGTTCTTAGAGGCTGGACACCACCAGTAAAGCCTTTAATCTTTTATATTACCCAGCCACTTAGTCTGAAGCCACATTGTGCTAGGGGCTGTAAAAAAACATAATTAATTACAGTCCATACCCCAAAGTCTAGAAAACACCATTGGTGGATGACACAAACAAGTGGAAGGGTTGAAGGAGATGAGGATTGAGACACAAATATATGTAGGATATTTTAGCACAGACTGGCTATGTGCACAAAGCCGTACCATGGTGTAGATGTAATCACAACTCGCAACAGTAAAGTCTGTTCTCTCTGGCCTTGGCTGCAAGAGAGAAACCTGGAATGTTAATCACTAGCACACCAGTAATACACCTGGCATGTCCATGTTAAAGTGCTCCTTTGGGTGTACATTTGTGCCAGTGATGCATTTGGATTACTTGCTTTCTGGTTAAGAATACTTTCTCTTAGGAGCCCACACAAGCAAAAAACCATGATAGGATGCCCAGACATTATTAATGATTTTAACCATGCCCAACCATGCTGGGTGCCTCCCAAACAACAGAGTATCTGCCCCAGCAAGCTCCCAAACTAACTGTAGACAGGACACAATAAGCACGGTAATGAAAGAGTAGGGGGACAGCGGGGGAAGAAACAGGGAATATCAATACGATTACAAGGTTACTCGGTGAGACACAGCATGATGGAACAAAGTTTGTTTTAAAGAGCACATAGATGGGTAAAATGATCTAACAGAAAACTACCTGGCAGACTGTTGTTTATTGTTGTAGCATCCAGGACCCCATTGTGCTAGGCACCATACAAACACAGAACACAAAGTCCCTACCCCAAAGATCTTACAGTCTAAGTAGTTTGGTTGTAAGCTCAATCATCCACTATATGCCCTATTTCATGAGGCTTCCAGCACTGCAGTGTGTGTAATCAAACACTGAGAACTTATTACCCTCAAACTGCACCCTCCCTGGTGCATGAACTAACAATAACAGCTCCCAGATGTCTGAGTTAGAAATCATTGCTGCAAAATGTTGTGATGAGATGATTTCCTAACTCCTTTATAAGCTAAATAAGTGAAAGTTGCCTGGTTGGTTCCTCCTATTGGAAATGTGTTCAATAGGTAAATGCTCAGAGCTGGCATTATATGCAGATACCCATTACACTCTTAACAGATGTTGCAAACAGCAGATGGTTACTATACACTTGGTTTTGTATTTCTGCCTTTAAATATGTACAGTGAAATAGTATTCAACCCTTCAGAGGTGCATGCTATATGTGGTACATCATGCATATAGTAGCAAAGAGCTGAGGAGTGAATGGGTTGAGGAAATGCTGAGCTATGTTTTAATACAAATATTATTGCTTAAGTGGTATAGAGCAGTGCTACTCAAAGTGGTGGTCCGCGGACCGTGCCATCGGCTGCCGGTCTGTGCGCACATTGGGAAAAAAAATTGCTGGTCCCCCACATCAGATAGTTAGAGAAGCACTGCTCTAGAGTATGACAGAACACCCCTGCCAAATCTGCAGGGGACACTCCCCTTAGATTCTTGCATAATGACAGGTTTCAGAGAAGCAGCCGTGTTAGTCTGTATTCGCAAAAAGAACAGGAGTATTTGTGGCACCTTAGAGACTAACAGATTTATTGAGCATAAGCTTTCATGAGCTACAGCTCACTTCATCGCGAAGTGAGCTGTAGCTCATGAAAGCTTATGGTCAAATAAATTTGTTAGTCTCTAAGGTGCCACAAGTACTCCTGTTCTTTTTCCCTTTAGATTCAGAATCACAAGGTGTCACTGTTCTCCATTCACAGCTAGATGGTTGTGCACTTACCTGGCAGGTTAATGTTTTGACTCTTAGGGCTTTTATTCTGTGTCAGGATTCAGCAGGATATCTCCTGTGTTCATGTTATGTTATATTTGCATCCCAAACCTCACTGTTAAATAAGTACTGGGTAAGATCGACACAACCGAAAGCTCTCAAGATACCTACACATACAAATCACCATGGTAACCGCACACATGGTTTATGATGCCATCAGATCCTTGGGATGTATAGCAGCTCTCTTCAGTTTCCCTGAGTTGTGTTTTGTGTAAGATATAAACAACTTCACTAGCTCCTAGTCTTTACTGAAATATTATGCAAAATGTCCCTGTGGTATGGGCTTCAGTAAGATTATATTTGTTTGCGAAACACAGACAGGAACAGAGCAAAGTTTTGCATTATTTATAGGCTTACAATCTAATTGTTATTTCAAGGGTTATGGAATCTATTACTCAACATCTATTAGGCTGTGAAAGTATCTCCCAGGGGAAACATTAGGAGCCTCCTAGCTTGGCATACTTAAAATTAGACTGGACAAAAAAAACAGAAAATATACTGTAGGGAACAATTATGTGTTGGCCGGGATATGGGGTGGATGGTCTAATAGGCCTTGCCCATTTCTAGATTTTATGAAGCAGTCTGTTGTTGAGTAGTGGGGTAATGACTTAAAATATAACTTATTCACCTAGTTACTGACTTCAGTTTGTTTGTACACTGAAGTCCTGGCCTTAAATACTGTGCCATTTGCCATATGTTTTCTTTGCACACTGTAAACCAATCCCAGCTATGCCATCATAAAGAGCCACTAAAATAGATGAGTGCATATTTTGTACTCATATCAATGGCTGCCAGTGCCAGAGGAGAAACCCAGCAGCAGTATCTTTCAACTTGCTGTTAAGGCCAAACAAATTCCTACTGAGACATGTTTCTTGGCAGCCTGCTGGTTGCAGGTAACACTGTCA